AGTTACCCTCCGTTTTAATTGGATGTTTTAAATATCAAACTTGATGCGAGAATAATAAAAGCTATATTTTTATTTGGGTTAACGTTTCATTATTCAATGAGAATTCTTGTTAGTGAAAATGTCATTCTACAACACGATTTAAAACGTCACAGACTCCGTGTGAAAAACCTCGTTGTTTGTGAGATGAATATTATTTATTTATTTCATTGGCGATTTTTATACTAATGTACGTATTTCCTTGTATTACCAAAAATTTACTCTAATATTAATGCGAATGCAACAATTAAAACGATTAATAGTTATCGTAATTTGTATACGTATGGCAATTTATTTGACTAAGTCTGTAAAATAAAGGTATCATGTAAATTTAAATATACCTAGTAGTAAAATCTTCTAAATTCTTTATAATTAATTGAAAGAATATAGTTTGAAAGTCAATAATAAATGCCTAACAGTTTGATAACAAGTATTATAAGTGAAGTTGGGAAGAGGAACGTATCTGCTTCATAAGCTAAATTACTTCGAAGAATTTTCAAGAGTGCACTTTTAACGTTAACTGAAAAGGGGACAAAGTTCAGCAGAAAAACTATTTCATTACTGAAGAATCGAGACACGGAAAACTGAACAATCTAATTACATCTTGTGTCTTGCTCTGTCTTGCGCTCTATCTTACCACACTTTTCTTTCACCTTAAGTTCCGTTTACATAAAAAAAGTTTTATAGTAAAAATAACTTTTTATGATTAATATAATTATCAGTCGTTTAGCTTGTGAGAATATTTCTTAGTGTCTTAAATTACTTATTTATTAGATTCGATTTTTTGTTAAGGTTACGATCGTCTACAGAATTTTTACTCCTAACGAATATACTTTTAGTATTATTTCAAGTAAATTATGTGTATGACTTCAATATATTTATTTTCCCTTATAATTTTTGAATCTTAAAAGTAACGTAGATAATTACGAATATTAGCGGAGACTTATCAACTTAATAATATAAGTCAAAATTGTACATGTAAATAGTCCTTTATAACTTAAGATTTTGTAAAATACTAACTCGTTTTAATAACATTCATTTAAGAAGCCAGCCATTAACAAAGCTCCATGATTTGAATGTTGACACATTATTTTCAATTGCCACATCCAGAAGATGCAAGTTCAGTATCGTTTGTTATTACCGTGGAAATACTTCAGAAGAAAGAACATTTTTCTTTTATTTTTACATCCATGAAAGACATGAGAGATGTTCTTTGATAAATTCTTAAGCAGTTTTGCTTACTACAACTCAGAATTTATAAAACTGTTGAAAAATGTAAATTGAAATATAATTCATTCAAATATAGACTTCATACAAAGAAAAAAAAAACTTTTTTGTCTTATATTTCATTTTTTTAATAAAGATCTGAAAAGCATATATTATTATTATCGCATTAGATTTTCAAACATGAGATCCCTTTGTAGAAGGGCGGTAGGGTCAGTAAATTGTTTCCTATTATGTAATTGACTTTATAAAATCTAGAACGATCTCATATTAATTTAATTTAACATTCTTTTTAACTTCCCTGTAATTCAAAAAAACATACAATAATTAGTAAATTGCTGTATTTCCTTTACGTTTTCTTATAACAAGGCTTCAGATTTCTCACTGATGTCTCCGAGAGAAAGATGCGACAAATGAGTTTTATAAAACCTTTGATGGCATTTCTTTATTTTTTTATATCAAAAATATGGAATTTTTATATAATGTCCGTTGACATTATAAAAAATTCCTTACTATATATATACCTTAGCTCTTTCATACCTGGTTTCTCACCTATGGTAGGTAGCTCGCAATAAGCATTGACTCATGAAAACCTACTTTTACAGTAACTGTCAATTAAGGATAATTTCAAGTAAAGGGTGTTTTTTTTTAGAGATTTACAACTTAAAGTTGAAAATACTTTTTTAACTGGCAGTTATTTTGACAGCTGTCCAGTGATTTGTGTTTAATTTGGTTTGGCAATTCATCATAAATAGACTAACGCCTGAAAAACGTCTCCAAATTGTGCAAATTTATTTTGAAAATCATGGCTCTGTTCGAAAAACATATCGCGCACTACGTCCATTTTAAGGTCCACATAATATTCCTTTAGAATAATTAATTTGATTAACAATGGAACGTTTTCGCACTACATTTACTCTAACTGGTAATACGCATCCACAGAGACGTCGTACAGTGCGTACAGAAAAAGTTATTTCTGCTGTAGAGCGTAGCGTAGAAGAAGACCCGAATCAGTATATTCGCTGAATAATTGGTCCGTACTTCTTTAGAAACGATGCTGGCCAGAACGTTACAGTCAATGGTGACCCCTACAGAGCGATGATTAGTGACTATTTCGTTCATCAATTAAACAACCATAATGTTCAGGAGTTCTGGTTTCAACAAGATGGTGCAACATGTCATACAGCTCGTGCCACAATTGATTTATTAAGAGAAACATTTGGTAACCGCATAACTTCACGTTTCGGACCTGTGAATTGGCCCCCAAGATCATGCGATTTAACGCCGCTTGATTATTTTCTGTGGGGATATGAAAAGTCATTAGTCTACGCTGATAAGCCCGAAACGTTGATCACTTGGAAGATAACATTCGTCGCGTTATTGCCAATTTACAGTCACGAATGTTGGAAGAAGTCGTTGAAAATTGAGCCTCCAGATTAAACTACGTACGAGCCAGTCGTGGAGGTCACATGCCTGAAATCTTATTTAAATTATAATGAAAGAATATTATCTTTCCAAAATATTATATTTCATATCAATAAAAAAATCATTTTTGTTTTATTTTATTTCAAAGTTCTATACCTCTAAAAAAACACCCTTTACAAAGAGGCGTATGACACCTTTCTTTGGGCTCATATTTATATATAATTTAGAAACAAGATTACCTGGATAAAGTAAGAAATCATTTAAATTTATTGTTTATATTATTGCTATTATTTCTTTATTATTTCAACTGTGTAAATGAATTAAATAATTTATTTTCACCATTTAGCTTCGCCATAAAATTTTTGCTACTGAAATGGAGCTGACACAAATAAGTCAAGTGTCATTATCATATTAGTTTTTTAATTGAACGTAATCAGAACTAAACAGGAGTAGTTCTATGAGCTCTGTTGGATTCTTCAATTGTTTATAATATATTTAAACAAAAAAATATAAGTTCCATAAATTTTAAATCAAAACGTCGTAAATGGTGGTTTGATTTAAAAATTAATCCTTAGGTGAACTGGCCTCAAAACTTCTCAAATTGTAGTTTCTGAGAACATTACTGTAAGATAACCTTTTTATTTATTAAATCATTATATAGAAAAACTGAAGTTATTTATTACTATACCATCATTGACTCAAACAAAATCATAGTTACCATTAATTGGTTGTTAAAATTAAGTCACGTATATTTTCGTATTTGAATTTGTTCGTTTATATTTGGCTGTTCATTCATCATTAACACAAATCGATTACAGTTTAGATTGAATTCATAATTTAATGAAACCCTAATATACAATACAACACACAATAGTCATTAAAATTCTGTCATCCCAGGCTATATAAATTAAGGATCATTGCTTAAATTGATATAACAAAACCAAAACTGTATCGTAAGATTTATTATTTTGCCTCAATATTTCTTAAAATGCCAACATTAAAAACAAATTATCACTACGTTATTGTGGTACTTGATTTTTATATACTTTTTAACACATTCGAAAGGAAAATTAAAAATACGAATCAGTAGTTACAGGTATTTTATTGTATACCAAAACTGAATGTGGGTTACAATATGCTGGTTTTAGAATACACTTTTGCCAAAAAATAAAACTATGCGCGTAAAATCTGTTTCAAATAAATAATTTCCTTAACAGAGTATAATAATTAACAAGTAAAACAATGCAATACAAGCTTTTACAGTATCCTTCATGGCTATTATTTTTGTTATTCGCAAGCCATAGATCATTATCTTCTAAGTTAGATTACAGAACTAAAACCAAATACATCGTTTCCTAATAAATACATTAATTACGTCACATGTAGCCAATAATATAATACAATAAATTTTGATGGACTAGATCCCACAAAAAAAAACTCAAAGATAAACCTCTTTACAAAGTTTATAATTTTTGGCAATATTTCACATACATATACACTTTGAATTTGTGCCGTAAAAGCAAAATACTTGAAGAAGACATAACAACATGATATATATATATACATATATATTTATTTATTTATGTATATTATATCAGACAAAGCAGATAAATTTCTATATATATATACATATATCATGCATCCATCACATCAACACACTTGGACTAGCTTCCTTAATTACGTCACTATCAAACTGTTACTAGTAATTAAACAAAACTAGTCAAAAAAGTCACGTAAGTAATATCTAACTAATTGCTTATAACTTCGTGTAACCTACAAATCTATAAAATACATTAAATGTAAAATATAATTATTTTTTATTGTAATATTATATATAAGAAGAGCAATATAAAAGGTATTTACAAAACCTGTTCTGGCCGACAATCGCACGATTAAATCGAACTTAAAACATACTTATGTTTACTTATAATAAAGTTAACACAGGCTGATTAAATACGGTAAGATATACCGATAAACACGTTACATGTAAAGCATGTACAAGTGGTAAATAAAAACTACAAGCAAATGCACAAGAGACGATCAATACATATATTGTGATGAACAATCGACACGATCGCTACTAAATAAATATAGGTAAAAATAATTTATTATTTACATCATAATATGGCACTGTGACCGCGCAAACCGAAGCGTTCCTGGATAATACCAATTATAATACCGGTGGGAAGTAGACGCGGCTGAGACATTCGTAATTCGAATACAAGTATCAGTCTATATATGCGCGTTCACTGACGTGTTCGCGGGCGCGGGTTGCGGTGCGGGGTATGTCGCGGGGAGGGGCGGGAGGGGAACGCTCAACTTGGTGGCGGGGGAGGGGGGGCGCGCTGGCGGCGGTGTCTTGCGCAAGCGCAGCACGCGTCGCCTCGTCGCCGCCGTGCACACGCCGCCCGTGAACATCTCTTACGAATGCACGTCACTTCGCCATCCTGAAACATAATGTAACAAAATACAGAACGATATCAATAATAATGAGAAATTCAAAAAGTAGATACGAATAGTATTTTCATTGGAGCCATTACTTTTCTAAAATTTATATATTTTTAAATGTGATGCAACTGTCAGTATTTTACTCGGATACACTCTATTAATTTCTATTATTTTGCTATGACAGCTAGTTTTCGTAGACAGACAAATAAAAGTCAGACTTCGAAAAACCATAGTAGAATTTGACATGCCTTGCTTTTTTTATATTATCCCCTGACTTTATCATGCCAAAACTATAAATGGGACATAAACACATACGCACTTATATACTAATATGCGCTAAAGATGCTGCAATCAGTTTACTTACACCGGTTCCAACATTATAGGAATCGTAACACAAAAAAGCTATTACAGTATAATGCAGCTATTAGAAAATTAATGTTTTACCTTGCACCGGCAAGTTACGCATCTCTGCTCGCCATGGGAGTGTATGGATGGATGAACCTCTTTGCCATTAGGCAAAGGACCATCTGGAAACTTGCATCCACCTTCAGCTAAAATCTCTTCAGCTGTCCGCGGCGTACCTTGGTCTTTTGGTGTATCTTCTTCCGTCTTCTTCGCTTTCACCTGCAATATGCAAAATATTAATACAATTCCTTAAATATAAGCTCTGACCAAAGTCTAGTTAAAAATTTCACTTAACAACATTTAGCATTATACTTACTTCTGGACAGACTCTACAACAAGCCTTCTTATCAGGTCGGTAGGCATCCTTCTCAGCACATTTTAAAGGCGGACATCGAACACGTGGACAGCGTACTTGTCGTGTTGCAAACTCACACGTACATATCGCACATGTGTCGTAACCACCAGGTACTAAGTAAGGATGCCAAGAGGAACCGGGTGCATGGTACTGTCCAGCGAGGTGACAACCATGAGACTCATTCCATACTGCTTTAGTGGAGTCTGGAAATATAATAGAATATAATCAATATTTTAGAAGAGATAAAAGTTACAATATGCCAGGCAATACATTTATATATTTTCTAGAAGACCTGGCTTTTTTTTTTTTGTTTCGAATTGACATATGCTGTTAGCCCTAGTGGCTTTGACAGCGTCACCGAGAGGGGTGGGTGGTCCTGATGGGACCGACCCGATTAATTCGGGCCCGAAGGGCCCGACCAGGGATGACCTGGCAAACTTCTTATCGTCCTATAATTAAGAAATATTTTTTTATTTGTATTTTTGGAGTTTGCCTATTAAAGCCATAAATCTCCGTGTTTTGAAGTGCGACAGAATGATTGACATATTAGTTAGTTGTCAAATCTAATGTAAAAAAAAACGTTTGTATCAACAACGACTAATTAATTAAAAAACATTGTCCAGCGGACAAAATTGTGAATTTAAACCATTCCTAGAACACGCACAAAAATTTTCATCAAAATCGGTCCAGTCGTTTGAGAGAAGTTCAGTGACATACACACTCACAGAAGAATTATATATATAAAGATAACTCAATGAGAGCGCTGCTGTCATCAATTACAAAGAAACCGTCTCAATTATTAATTTAATCAAAGACCATAAACTTACTGGTGCAAATTGGACAGCATTGTCCTGGAGGACGCAGAGTGGGAACAGCACAGGTGACCGGGGGACATCGTACCGCGTCACAACGAAGCGCGCCATGAACACACCCACACATGTGACATGACTGTAAATAAATATCATTTAAATATATTAGTTTTAGAACATACAGATTTAGAAACAATTGTTTTAAAATTCAAGGTTCACTCATTGGTTTAACATCCAACGTGGTTAGTCAAACACTAGTTATCATACGATTTTATATAATACATCTGCCGAAGTTATTAACACAATCTTGCTAGGATATATTTAAATTTTAAAAATTTCTTTAAAATATAATAATGCATATTCATTAAAACTGGAAAATCTTTTTAGTTAATATACTATTTTAAAAAATAATTATAGGATGATCAAAAATTCTTTAATTACCTCTGCAGCCATCCACTGTGATCCATCTTCATAGGACTTCCCGGCATAATAACAAGAAGCCGTGTTAGACAACGAATTGTCTGGTGGAGGTGAATTCATATGTGTTTGCGCGTAGTTGGTATTTAACTCATTGTCAGAATACGACCCTACTGGTAGACATGAAGGTGGCACGCTTATCTGTAATACATATGTATAAAAATTTATTAATTTAATAATAATGTCCTAATTATTATAGTTTCATTGTTGGCAAAAGTTTTTTCAAATTTATTCTTAAAATAAAAGTCTCTCCGTTTACTTCCACAATTGCTGATATGACAGAAATTCATGTAGGTATAATACAAATATAAATACTCTTAACAAAGTTATAACTTCTACACTCACCTTGAGATCATAACCTTTGCAGCGTGTAGACATGAATATAATTAGTAACAGTTATTATACATGTATTGTATAAGTTTTTTTAATTAATTAATTCTTTGTTAACCAAAGTTTACAAACTTAAAGATACATTAGATATACTAGTATCTTTATTTTTTTAATTTTTCCTGGTATTTTGGTTACTTCACAGTAAACGAGACCACGAAAAGATGAAATGAGATTTATATCAGTAATATTAACAATTTAAATTACCTGGGGTAACCGCGTTCGTAGAAACTCAGTATCGTTGTCGGAAGTTCGTATATTAAGATGTGCTGATCCAGAATTCAATGCCAGTAGTTCTGAAGGAGATGGTTCCAGAATTGAACCCTCTATTCCAGGTAATATTCTTGGTCCATTAGGATTCCCTTCGAGCCATGCAGTCCAAGACCCACCGTAACCATTTATGACAACCTGAAGAGTTTTTATATAAAATTAACTTAATGAAATCTAAGGTTTTCGCGAGTACTCATGTAAATGAAACTAATTTTTTCGGATTTACTACTCGGTTTATTTTTCTCTTACATCTCGTCTGCCCGTGAACACGGTTGCTGTAAAGTAGCCGAAACGTCGGAAGTATGTCGTTTATAGTCAAAAATAAATGGCGTAGTAAAGCCGAAAATATTAGTTTCATATAAAATTAATTTTCTTATTTTCTAGCTTTTATAAACTAAAATATTATTATTATGTCAAAAACTTAATTATACCAAATAAAAAAGACGTACATATATTTTTAAACGATAAAGCTTGTTTTACAAATTACCTCATAATTTAATCCGCACAAAACGTCAACAGCAATCCAAGCAAGACCAGCCACTGGGTTGATAGTTGGTGGCATTCGAGCATCTGTTCGCCGAAGTAATGACGGCCCTTCACTAGCTGCGTCTGGCAGTGGCCGTGACAGTAAACGACCTCTCAGGATTGGCGGACCTAACAAAACAATTTAATATTACGCTCAAAATAATTATCATAAAGTAATGAAATAAAATACAAAAACAAAAATAAACAACAAAGGAATAAGTAGATCTTTTGGTAATTACCAGTATCAGAACCAATATGGACTGCAAGCTGATCTTCATAAAGTGGAGGGAAGATACGGGCACTGGGTCGAGCTAGAACTCCAATTCTAGTATCTAATATCTCCACTTGTGAATGACGTTTACCTTGCTCTTCAACCAATGTGATCTTTGGGTCGATTATACTCAAATTCTCTACCTAAAACATTATACGAGATAGTAACTTTATATGATTCATTGGAGGGTAATGAACCAAAACGTTGTCCTTGTCATTGGGTTTCAATATGAGAGATTGTACCTGTTTATTTACTTCTTTTATTACAAATAATGTGAATATTCATGTATGTATTTATTTTAACATTTTATTTAATATAGCGATGAATACTTCAATCAATAAGATTTCATTACTTATTAAATTATAATGTTAACAGAAATAAACCATACTGTTCAATTTAAGAAAAGTTACAATGTAATTGTGTATTTCACATAATTTTAATTTAGACAAAACAGTAATAACCTGTATATCGTATACAAGAGATCCATCTTTATCAATATAAACCAAGGCCAATCCCTGTGGTATCAATGTAGCTGGTAATCTTTCCGCCATTAACGGAGCATGGAAGACTTCACAAGCAGCTCTCTGTCTTACAATACCAGAAATTCTTCTATCTGGTGTTCCCATTGCTTCAACTGACAATAGTAGTCTCCCACGAGATAAAGAACGTAACTCCGCAGCGGAAACAGGTGTGGAAACTTCTAGAACATTTAATTCGTACCCCGGTTTAATTATCTTTTGGACCTGAAAATATTCACACATATTTCAAATCAATATACTATTCTTAATTTCTTATATCAATAGCTTAAAAGTATTACCTAATTAGATATCATACAAAACTTACTTCATCAATAATGGTCTGATTTCTCTCAGGCAGTGTCAATAGTACTCTCACTGATTGATCTCTCGCCGCAGGCATGAAGATACCATTGTATACAATCGCCAAATGCAAACTTGGAGCGGCACCAGCTGCCCCAGTTACAACAGCAGTTCCTCCCCACCAACCCTCTTCTTTACCCGGTACACGATACTCATCACATGGACCACTGCTAAATGATGTTGGAACATGATCCGGTTCTAGCAAAGACGTGAACATTTCTGTCGCTAATGCTGGATATCTGGAAATATATTGTTCCATTAGTAGGACACCTCTTATAAAGCTTTTTAAAAATAACCCAATATCTGTATATCTTTTATAAAGTATAAACTAAACGCTAAATCGTTGTTACCTATTTTAAACAGTATAATAGGTCTAGTGTGCTTCCGTTATTAATCACACGCTTAATTTAATGTGAACAATGGGCTTATTGCGTAATACTAAAATACATATAATAGTAAAAAATTCGAGATGACTATTTTTTCTGCTGTTAATTTGCCTTAAGTATTTTATATTCTTATATCATAAAAGGTTCTAGAAGTCGCACAATTCAGTAAACATATTTATTCAAAGAACTTACGACTGAAGATAACAGTAAATAAGCATAATTTAAAAACCTTGAGTAGAATTCCTAAGATGCAAATTAAACATACAAAAGTAATGAATGCGATTGTAATGCGTCGGAAACGTTAGTGCATATAAAGTTACATTACGCTTTATGAAAGCGACCATATAAAATACATTTTACGATTATTTTCTTCGTTCGTTACAGACGCGCCTGACAAGCATAGATATTAACGGCTCTTACACATTCATGAAAGTGGACATTTGGTAAGTTGCAAACTCTTAGACTGCAATGGTCACATCATCATATTACTTCAATCAAATTCTCATTTGCTTTCATTTATACAAACCTATTTATTCGTCCACTCAATGCACTTTCCATAGAATTGTTACGCTCGTCACCCCAAATCAAGGCGACATACAAAGAGCCTTCTCTCAGTATTCGTTTGTAGTCGCGAGGCACTCGACGCCAGACACCACACAACTGTAAACAAGCCATTTCTTTGAATAACCAATAGAACTTAATTGATATGGTACTTAATTGATCTAATCAATGAGGAATATACTGTTTAATTGGATTAAGTCCTACCTTATCAGTTTTTTCCTCGTAAGTGGCATGTATTCCTGCAGCTCTTTTTATTGGATGTTCAAGGAGCATGCGTCCTCCTCTGTCCAGAAAAGCCAAAGCACGGGGCTGGACGTTAACAGACGTTCCTAATATTACAGACCAATATAGATGGCGACGTCGAAAAGTAAACCTTGCGGTTGCCACACCTGGAGCCACAGGAACTCCCGTCATATCATCTCGTCTGATGCACAGCGGAGATCGACCAGTCAATAAGGCCCCAAAATCTGAAATACATATTTTATATTAGTTATTTCATTATTCCTTTATATATTACCTCAATATATTTGACATAAACTTACGTCTCATACTCAGTTCTTCATCTTCATTGTTGGTTATTATAGATATAGGACCATCATCTTGTACAATGTCTGGTGCTGTAACAAAAAAAACGTTTAAAATATTTCATTCAATATGAGTTAACTAAAATTATTTACACGAGCAAAGATTATTACATCTATCACGTAGCATGCTGATTTTATCAAATACAGTATATCAAAAATCCTTAGAATTTCAACGAAATATATAGTTTTTGTAGTATATCTGACGAGTTTCTTGTCATTATCTTTTTGTTAACAACAACATTACGAACCAATGTGTAGAGTGAATCGATTTCTTAACTAATCTTGACTTTCTCATCTTGAATTTTAAAGAGTTTTTTCTTTTTTGGTCCTACATAAAAAAGATATTTTTGACATTGATGACAACGTTGTCGACGAACGTGTTGAGGAAAAATTCCTGTTTTTATGACCTAGTTTTTCATCTGATCTTAATAAAGATTTTATAACCAAAATCCTTTTGTACACTTATTCCAACAGGAAAACTTATAACTTATTAATAAAGATACATTTTAGTCAGGACTAAGAACATATCTCAGGTCCTCTTTTATCTTCCCTCGAAGCTAATGAATTTATAGTAAGTACAATATAACTCCCATGAAAATGCAATACAATACTTTCTCTTTAGATGCATCTGATAAAACATGTCGTTGATCAATTGAATATAAGTGAGTTCCAATGGGTGGGGGCCGTTGGCAAGACCTCCCCGACCCTTCCATTCGGGTTGATTGGATCAAGTGTTACACAATCGTAAGTCTCTAACAGGATCGGCGTCTCCACGTCGCTATCATTTTGCATTGCTTTATTGTGCAATTGTCTTGATTTAATACCTATAACCTATATTTTTAATCAGATAGTCGAGAGATCAGACAATATTTACTACACTTCTTTGAATGTTTCAACACTATTCAATACACTTAACTATATGTCTCTCAGATACTTAATTTTTTTTAATAATTATTATTTATGATTGGACCAGAGATGGCTAAATACACCATCACAACTAAACGAACCATTATTTTAAATACTTTGATGTTGTTTGTCACGAAAAGACTGATAAGTATATTAATTTTGGATGAAACAAATACAGCGTTGGAATCTATTTCAAGCAAAGGAACTTTAGTGAAATTTTAAGTGATTTGGTCTTTACTCGAAAACTCAATAGAGGAATGTAAGATCAGAGTAAAACGGTCAAATATATTATATGCATAAAATTACACAAGACTTAATGATTTACAACATCCGTATAGGTGATTAAAGAAGAAAACTAATAAAATGAAAATTGTATTTTACGATTACATTTATGTTTACACGGTCGTCTAAGCAAATAAAACAAGCAAAAAGTCAACGATATTAACAAAAGATTTTTTTTTCTTATTAATTAATTTATTTTTTATTTGGGAACAATTCAATCGAAAATAAGAATAATGAAAGCGAAAAGATTAGAAGTTTTAAAAAATCATAAATTTTGGACATGATAAGTTTTGTGAAAATTTATAGTCTTTGTGATACTATACTGCCTCCTACCATATATCAGATTGTCAAAAATTTTTCGTACTCAGTCTACTGAATAATTTTCTCTTATTGCTAAAACTATTTTATTTAATACAATTACAGGGCATATTACAACTACATACATATTTTATCTAGTGCTACATAGTTGTGATGTTTGTAGTGTTTTAAACACAGTTTTTAACCGAACTCATAAGGCTAACTATCCTATCCAGTTTTGCTACAATGTTTAAACTGCACGTTAGATAAGCATTATAGAAGCAAATATTATGATGAGTAGACCTGTTTACGCTGTATATCCTCATAGCTAGATTATGATCTAGTACAACTTGGCGCCGGTATTCATAATTCAATCTTGGAATTCATTTTATGCTCGAGACAGTCCTAAATTTATTGGCGGGTGGCGCCAACGCGCCAATGACGCGTAATTCTAGATAACATGCAAATGCAAGAAATATCTGGATCAAACGGATTTAAACCGTCGATACTTAAAGTAACGATATCATAAACATCTGTTCAATATTTACAAAAACTTCTCATCAATATATAAATTAATTCGCTCCTTAATATACTAATAAAACATTGTATAACAGGCCTTAATCTTAATTATTGAAAGATATCCGAAACCAATTATACATTAGCATATGATAACGAGTTTACATATATCCTCTATTGACACCTATATTAACTAATACTTTAAATGCGAATCATGACGTTCAGCACCTTTGACTCGGTCGAGATCTGAGCGGCGCGGCGCCACGAATATTGTGCGTAAATGTGCGCAATGTGTATACACGGACACATCACACATGTGACAGCGAAAACCTTCACACGAGTTCACAGTTTCACTCATTAACTTAATTTTAAAGTTTTTGAAAACATCCTTAAGATTCGAAGCGTGAAGTAAGTGTTGAGACGAGTTCATTCCAAGTCAAGTCGCGGTGTAACGTTTTTAGGCCTCACCGACGCGGTGAGTTTTCCAATTGCATGATGTAACCAGGCGCCGCTTTGACGACAATATTCACGGCTGATACCATGAACAGACTGCGTATAAAACACTTACGACCGTAACTATTTTATAGTTTAATGGAACGATGTAATTAATTACCGGTAAAAAAAACATAAAGCAAGTAAAGTCCAGTAATTTGTTACTTGATTCCTCTAATACTTTTACTTATTTCAAAAGTATTAGATGATAAAGACTTAAAAACAACAAAATTCCGCATTTTTCATTCATAATAATCTTTACATCTACTTAGGGTTTACTCATAAATAGAAAACGTTCGTTCGTTTGACGTTTAATTAATCGAAAACTTTTCTCCATTTACTAGACAGAAGCCAAAACATACACAATCAATTATAAAAACTAAACCATCTCTTAAAACCCTGCCTCTGTTAGCTAATTAAATAATTGATCGTTATTTATCTCGAACAGGCAGTAGGTACTTCCCACTAAAGATATAAAAATGTAAACAAGTATGACATCAATAATCACCACTTATAAAATAAACCTTAATCTTTACAAAGAAAAATCTTGATTAAGTAAACGTCGATAATTACAACTATGAGAAAAACAAATTCGTGAAATACGACTGATATGTGAAGTCGCAATCTGTTGTTTTGCAACTTCATAAGCGTGATGCATATTCATGAGGCGTCCAGAGAGGATTATTATTTATAAAACTTATGCAAGTGTATTCCATCCGAAGTAGATAATATTACTGCATATAAATTTATCGATACTAAAATAATTTACCCTGAATACACTTTATTCGATAATTCTAGCTCATAATCTATTAACGCTGTTACTAACAACAAACATTCCTTGTGTTAAAATATGTTTAATATAATAAGTAACAAATGAACTAAACTGACGATTGAAATCATAAAAAAATTAGACAAAGCTATTTTGAACAACAGAGATGATTATTATAATTTAATTTGCAGTTATTTAAAATGTGGAAGAGAGTAATTAGAGAAAATAAGATCACTCCCTACAAAATATTCCATGAAAAGTAAGTTCTCCTGTTTGCTTTTTAAGTCTGAAAATTCAGTGAATAAAACACGGAAAAATACAGTAATTTTTTTATGAATATCACTAGTATCTTGTTATTTTGATTTTGTAATTAAAACATATTAGAGATGTATGAAATATAAAAACCAAAAATTATGAGTAAATTTTAATTTTAAACATATTATTAAAATTCTAAAATATTTCCATAATAATTATAATATAAATATAATAATACGGACCACGCAATAAATTCCTTATTTTTTTTTATATTTGAAAACCGGTCCCAAAACGATAATTATGATATGATTTATCATAATGTTATTGTTAATAAATAATTACTTATATTAATGAAATTGACAACGACTGTGATAAAAGAAAAACCGACAATAATTCCAAACATAATTTTAACATAATATTTTTTTCGAATTAAGATGCAATTATTATGAAAAAAAAAAACAAAAAACTGTTTAAGAAAACAAAAAAATATATATAATAATTTTTATAACAGATATCATCAAAATATTTTTTAGACAGATTCATCTTAATACGTGTTTGTTATCTCGAGGTATTGAACACATTATTACCTTAATTAGAAAGAAGAATAAAAGCAAAACGAAAGTCCGCAATGGTACATAATGAAGAAAGTATGCGCAAACAAAATTTTAATAAGACATATATTTTCAAATAATAAAATTCAATTAATAAGACAAGTGATATATGTATAAAAAATATAACTTGAAAAATATTTTTATCGATTCAAGTAAAATCAATCGATCGTCAACGAAGCATTAAGTGCTCGACCCAATTAACTCTTGACCTACATGAGGTTCAAACAAACTTAAGATAACATAGATGTCGTTGTTTTTACTGTTTACTATTTTCTTTTCAAGTATCTTTTGTTTTGATTGCTCCCGATACTTTGTTTTCATTATACTTTCATATCTATTAATACACACGTCAAAAGACAATTTCAAAATAGAGCTACTTTAGTGTATGTATGTATAAAACCATAATATGTTTATGATCTCGTATTATATGTCACAGCATGAAACCTATTTCACCTTAAGCTCATTGACGCAGTGGCTTGACATTTTTACATGCAGGTGCGGCGCAAAGTCTAATTGGCAGAGAAAAGTGATAACACCGTATCAATAAGTCTTCAGTCAGTCAGAAATAAGGCGATACATTAAAGCGAACATCGAACTGTTATTAGGAATTCTCTTCTACGAAATGGGCCCCGCGCTAATTTATAGATTATATTCGTAATGATGGCAAAAGAATGTTTATGGCACAAGGCGCGGTCTTATTGTTGTCGGGAGACACACCACTCTGATCTCTGAGACACTCGCTCACATAACTGTCGCGCTACGAAACTGCAGTGAGTGTTGGCTCGGATTCAATGTCCATTTTCATAAAATATAATTTCATCTCGACATTCCATTGATGTACCGATGTTAATGTTTCCGCGCGATCTATATTAATATTTACAGCGTATTGCAGTTTTCATAAAATA